GCAATCCAGCAACACATGGAGTGACATCTTGTCTGTGAAGACACTGCTGGTCAGTACCGACAATGCTAAAGTGGGTGAACCAGTGGTACAAGGCAGCTGTTTATCATTATAGGCTGTGTGGGGGGTTAGCCTGGATGATATACATGGGTCCTTTCCAGGCCTGTGATTGCACATCTAGTGAAGTTTGGAATCTAGCAGAAGCAGCTGTCAGAAAAGTCTCTTTGTTGGGTAATGCCAGTGTGGTGTAGTGGTTAAGAGCGGTAGTCTCGTAATCTGGGGAACCGGGTTCGCGTCTCCGCTCCTCCACATGCAGCTGCTGGGTGACCTTGGGCCAGTCACACTTCTTTGAAGTCTCTCAGCCCCACTCACCTCACAGAGTGTTTGTTGTGGGGGAGGAAGGGAAAGGAGAATGTTAGCCGCTTTGAGACTCCTGAAGGGGAGTGAAAGGCGGGATATCAAATCCAAACTCTTCTTCTCTTCTTCTTCTTCTAATGGCCTTGTCTTAGCTGGCTGGTGAAGTGCTCTCATCAGCATCTCCAAGGATGAGCCACGTTTCCATAGAGACAAATAGGTGGGCCTTTTGCCACCTCACCTGGCTGAGTGTCATGTCATCCTGGGATGGAGAGCAATAGGCCAAGGGAGGTTGTTCATGTGAGTGGATGTGGGGTGATGCTGGGAGCTGGAGAGATAGAGAGACAGAGACATGCCTTGCTCTGTGATGGATCCAAAACTGTGACCTGGGGCTTCCCTGGAGACCTAAGGGGAAAGCAAGATTTTTGGGAGCATTGATGCTGTGAGCCCCTTCACCCTCTGCTTAGGTTGCATATATGTGTAAATAAAGCCATGTTTCCCAAGGACACCATAACCTCTGTTGACCTTAAAGTGCAAACTATTTAATTATTACTTGCTGGTTTAAATTTATTCTTTACTATTATACTCTAATGGATTATTGAATATTGGTTGATTTGCTATACATTATTCATTTCAAAGTTATGCTTTTATTCTGACTTCTTTTGTATTGGATCAGACGGTTATTAGGTGTGTGATCTTTGCTGTCTATTTTGTTGTTTCTTCAGCTTGTAAACTGCCTTGCATATAGTGATTTAGAAAGGTGGTATCATACCCTGCAACATTTCTCCAATGAACATAGGGATGTCCCATTCCATGATGATAATTTTACTATTTATACCTCACACATCTTACTGGGTTACCCCAGCCACCCTGGGAAGCTTCCAACATATACAAAAACATACTAAAACATTAAACTTCTCTATACAGGATTGCCTTCAGATGGCTTGGGGCATGGGTAGACAAACTAAGGCCTGGGGGCCAGATCTGGCCCAATTGCCTTCTAAATCCGGCCCATGGACGGTCTGGGAATCAGCGTGTTTTTACATGAGTAGAATGTGTCTTTTTATTTTAAATGCATCTCTGGGTTATTTGTGGGGCCTGCCTGGTGTTTTTATATGAGTAGAATGTGTGCTTTTATTTAAAATACATCTCTGGGTTATTAGTGGGGCATAGGAATTCGTTCACCCCCCCCCCCAAAAAAAACCATAGTCTGGCCCCCCACAAGGCCTGAGGGACAGTGGACCGGCCCCCTGCTGAAAAAGTTTGCTGACCCCTGGCTTGGGGGTTCCAATAACTCCATACCCTCCAACATTTCTCCAATAAAAATAGAGACATCCTAAGGAAAAGTGGGAAATTCCAGGATCTAATCAGAAACTGGGATGGCTTCTCTAGATCAGGGAAGTCCTTGGAAAATAGGGACACTTGGAGGGTCTGTGGTATGCAAATAAAAAGTGAAATGAAAAAATGAAAATGAAATGAAATGGAGTTAAAGGCACAGGTAGGGGCAGAGCTCAATGGCAGATCATGCAGAGAGTTGGTCCTTGACTCAACCTCTGGCATCTTCAGGAAGGCCAGTTGCTGGTTCTTGTACTTGTGTCCTGCTTGGTAGCATCCTATGGCCATTGGAAGAACAGGATGCTGGATTAGATGGGCCATTGGTCTGATCCACTAGACTAGTCTCTTCTTATGTTCTACAATTCTGGAAAAGCACTGACAGTCAGTGTAAAAAAAAGAGTAAAGGTAAAGGACCCCTGGATGGTTAAGTCCAGTCAAAGGCAACTAGGGGGTTGCGGCGCACATCTCGCTTTCAGGTCAAGGGAGCCGGCGTTTGTCCACAGACAGCTTTCCGGTTCAGGTGCCCAGCATGACTAAACTGCTTCTGGCACAGCGGGACACCGTGATGGAAACCAGAGCGCACAGAAACACTGTTTACCTTCCCGCCACAGTGGTACCTATTTATCTACTTGCACTGGTGTGCTTGGTTGGCAGGAGCTGGGACAGAGCAACAGGAGCTCACCCCACCGCAGTGATTCAAACCAGAAACCTTCTGATCAGCAAGCCGAAGAGGCTCAGTGGTTTAGACCACAGCGCCACCTGCATCTCCAGTCAGTGTAGACTGAGCTCAATGGACCAACAGTCTGACTTGGCAGAACTTAAGGCAGCTCCCCCTGTTCTTATATGCCCTGTTGATGATCCTGTGTGAGACACACTGTCATACCAATATCTACTGACAAGCTGCTGAGTGAGACAGAACATCGCTCTGACCCAGCGTGGCAATTTTTATGTAAGTTGCATTGCCATTACTTTATAACAACAGTCTTCTTTTATAAAGCTGCTTCGATATGGAAAGTGCTACCGAACGCCTGATCTATGCATCGGATAATAAGCATTTTTTTAAAAAAATAATAATAATTCTGTACAGAGTGTAACCATTTGCCTGGTATATGAGTGCAGCCAGTATGGTTAAGATTAAATATATATATATAAACACGGCTGTGGTCTGTATCGTTATGGGTAAAGGTCCACTATTTGCACTGGCCTATTTAAATTAGCTGCTATTACTAGTCCCAGAATTCATGGTAAACAATTAAGCTGTCATGCTGAGGTACAGGGAGGAAAGTAGAAGTCATAAAGGCAGGCAACCCAACCCATAATAATGTATCAAAAAGTGTGTGTGTTTGGGGGGAAGGCAGAATGCTAAGAGCAAATCATTTTAAAGAACCCGAGAAAGCGAATCAATGTTCTCTAATAGAGTCGGGGGGAACTATTTGCAGCAAATGATTTATTCATCTCGAACGAAGCCCTCCTTTCCGCTTGCAAATTATCTCTGAACAGGCTTCCATTTTCTTTGTTAAATCGATTGCTATTTAAAATTACTCTCTTTGTGCTTTCTGTGAATAAATGTCAGCCTGTGGCTCGCTCGCTAACTCCTTCCTGTGAGGGACTGATTCAAATGTTATTGCACTTGTAGGCTGAATATATATATATATATCACACGCACTGTAGTAGATAGCATCTGAAACATACAGTGTGAAATTGCTTTTGGACACAGAAAACTGCTCCATTCTCAATGCTGGAGCTGGGGTTGCTCAAACTGTGTCCTGGGGAACAGTTATTTTGAAGCCTATCAGGGTGGTAATTAATGATGAACTCTAAAAAACAGGGTGCCCAGCATGACCAACTGTCCCTTAAGATGCAAAGCTATGGGGAAGTGCTATAGGGCACATGAGGACTTGGGTAGCCAATGAAGTGCCCCCCAGATGTTGCTGGACTGCAACTCCCATCACTTCCATCTAGCACAGCCTTTCTCAACCTGTGGGTCCCCAGATGTTGTTGAACTACAACTCCAATCACCTCTAGCTAGCAAGGCCAGAGCTCAGGGATGATGGGAGTTGTAGTCCAACAACATCTGGGACCCACAGGTTGAGAACCGCTGATCTAGCATGACTGTCATGAACTGGTTGGACGCAGAGGAATGGTGGAAGGAACCAGCTGGGGAACCACCAAGGGAAGAAGGCTCAGAGCCTGGAGATTGGTGGTGCAATGACGATGAGTGGCCAGAGGGAGAAAAGGGAGAAGACTGGGAGGAGAAGGTGAAGAGGGCTTATTGAACTGGGAAAGCCCAAGGCAGAGGGAAGTCCAGAATCAGAGGCAGAAGTAGAAGTAGAAGTAGGAGGAAGAGGCAGAGTTGAGTCGGGCTGGTGAAGAGTCACGAGGGTCTCCCCCTCCTGCTGTAACAAGCTCCCCTCCCAGCTTGTCTCCCAGAACCAGAAGAGGCATGAAAAGGGCAGAGGAGAGGCTGGTTCACACAGGCACAGTCTCTGATTGCTTGGGGAAAACCCTGGAGAGGCAGGGACTTTCAGTCTCGGGAACTGATCCACGGGGCAAGATCTACTGGGGGTGAACTGTTGTGTTCACTCTGCCAAGTCTGTGCAGATCATGTTCTTGCTAATAAAGACTTAACTTCAACTTGCACAGTGTGATTTACTGCCGGCTCGCTCCTGACAATGACCAGCGGACAGGGATGCTGGGAGTTGTAGTCCAGCAACATCTGGAGGGCACCAGAAGTGATGTCAGCTGCTTGACAGGTGGTTGTGGTTGGGGGGGGGATGGCCTCATGGGCCAAATTGGACCAACCCAGTATGGCCTGAGATTAGCTTGCTGTCTGGAGGTTAAAAATGAGCCTGTTGAATCAGTCCAATGCGCCATCTAGTCCAGCATTCTCACAGTGGCCAAACAGAAGCTCATGGAAAACGTACAAGCAGGACGTGAGCACAAGATCATTCTCCCCTCCTGTGGTTTCCAGCAACTGGTATTCCCAAATATTGCTGCCTCTGACTTTGGAGGCCGAGCACAGACATCATTGCTAGTAGCCATTGATAACTCTATCCTCCCCAATTTTGCCCAGTCCTCTTTTAAAGCAAGCCACCCCTAGCTGTGCTTTTTAAAACAGCAGTGTAAAGGAGCTCACTATTATCACCCCCATATTGTAGATGAAGTATGTCGAAGGAGACCTAATGTGAATTGCTACTCTCAGCTAATGTTTTATTCCTTTTGCAAACCTAGGCTATTAATAATCCAAGCAGCAAGCCATCATCAGTCAGTTCCACAAATGGCCCACGGTGAACATGTTAGAGATTTCAACTTACCAACTATGTAGTCACAGCAGGAAATGTCTAGATAGAAAACAGAATGAAAGGGATGTATTATTAGCACTGCAAAGAAGGAACCTCTTTGGACTAATAAAAAAAAGGGCAAATTCGGTAGAGGACCTAGCTGCAGGTTGGAAATTGCTCAGTTAAAAGGCAAATGCAGATTTTACACGGCTCACTTGCAAAAATAATGAGCTGGATTTTCACTGAGAAAATAATTAAAGCTGGTTCAGCTGATTCCACTTTCTTCCTATACATCAGGTTGGGGAGGGCTGTCCGGATTCGTCTGTCCAAAATGGTGTGCGGGTGGAATTTTTGGGGCCAGAGTCATAAGTGGGTGGAGCAAAGACATGCAATTATTATTATTATTATTATTATTATTATTATTATTATTATTATTATTATTATTTACTGCCCTTTGTCTGAAGGTCACAGGGTGATTTACAGCACAAAGATAGAAAATGAGAACACAAAATACAAAAACAAACCAATAACTCCCCCAAACACATTTTAAAGGCCATAGCTTTAGCTAAGATTCCTGCCTTGCAAGGGGTTGGACTAGATGCAGACCCTTCAAGTGTCCCTATTTTCTAGGGACAGCCCCAGATTTACAGAAGACATCCTGGTTTATGGTTTGATCCCAGAATGTCCTGCTTCTCCTTAGGATGTCCCTATGTTCATCAGAGAAAACTAAAGGACTGGTTATAGAGGAAGGTTCTTGCCTGGTGCCTAAATATATGTAATAAAGGTGACAGGCGAGCCTCCCTGGGGAGAGCATTCAACAATCAGGGAGCCACCACAGAAAAGGCCCGTTCTCATGTTGCTGCCCTCCAGACCTCTCATGGAGGTAGGTAAAGGTAAAGGGACCCCTGGCCGACTCTGGGGTTGCGGCGCTCATCTCGCTTTATTGGCCGAGGGAGCCGGTGTACAGCTTCCGGGTCATGTGGCCAGCATGACTAAGACGCTTCTAGCGAACCAGAGCAGCGCACGGAAACGCCGTTTACCTTCCCGCCGGAGGGAAGACCTATTGATCTACTTGCACTTTGATGTGCTTTTGAACGGCTAGGTTGGCAGGAGCAGGGACTGAGCAACGGGAGCTCACCCCGTTGCGGGGATTCGAACCGCCGACCTTCTGATTGGCAAGTCCTAGGCTCTGTGGTTTAACCCACAGCACCACTCGCATCCCCTCTCATGGAGAGGGCACACAACTAAGGGCCTTAGATGATATTGCAGGGTCTGGGTCAGTTCTTATGAGGAGAAGCAATCCTTGAGGTATTGCAGTCCTGAGCTGTTCAGAGCTTAATAGGTCAAAGTCAACACTTTGAATTGGGCCCAGAAACTAATTGGCAGCAAGTGCAGCCAGGTCAGGATTGGTGTAAGATGCTGGTGAGTTTTACCCTGGTGAGCAACCTGGCCACCCAATTATGCACCAACTGAAGTTTCTGAACAATCTTCTGAGGCAGCCCCACATAGAATACGTTGCAGTCATCTAGCCTAGAGGTTACCAGAGCAGAGACAACAGATGTTAGGCCCTCCTTGTCCAGATAGGGGCGTCACTGGACCACCAGTCAAAGCTGATAGAAGGTACTCTGCGGTACAAAGGCTACCTGAGCCTCAAGAAGCAACAATGAATCCAAGAGTGTTGAAGCTATAAGTTCAATTTACATAAAATATTATTTTTAATTGCATTGTCTTTTAATTGCAAGTTGTTGTAAAAGAAAGCTTTAGACATATAGCCATTACTTTTCCATAGGGTGTATTAACTCAGCTCGGGACTCCTCTCCTGACTTGTCATGAGTTAAACCTTAAGACAGTGGGAAGAGATGTAATCTGAGTGCCTTGCCAGTGTTTGTAAATGTAAATGAGGTTGCTTGCAACACAGAGCTGTACACAGTCAGTTGTACATAGTCAGGAGAAAAAGAGACAGTACAGTCGTACCATGGATCCCAAATGCCTTTGTACTTGGATGTTTTGGTTCCCGAACGCCGCAAACCCAGAAGTGAGTGTTGCAGTTTGCGAATGTTCTTTGGAACCTGAACGTCCGAGGGGGTTCCTGTGGCTTTTGATTTGTTGCAGGAGCTTTCTGCAGCCAATCAGAAGCTGTGCTTTGGTTTCCGAACATTTTGGAAGTCAAACGGACTTCCAGAACGGATTCCGTTCGACTTCCGAGGTACCACTGCATGTGATTTTCAGCAGAGAAGCTACATTTTGGTAAAGATGTTTAGAACCTCACCCTGGTATCAGTTTGTAAAACTGAAACCAATTGCTTTTCTCTTCTTCTTTTTTTGTGTGTGTGCAATGTATCAAATTATCCCTAGCCAAAATTGAGCCCCCCTGGGAAGAAAAAATAGTCCTGCAAGAGGAGAATAGATGGGTGTAGGAATGATTAAGCCCAGAAGTGCTAGCTTGGCTCCCACAACTGTGGATGCCCTGGGCCATGGGTACCATGCAGCATGCATGGCCCTGGCACCAAAATTTGTGCATGCCCAGCCACTTCATGGGGAATTTTGTGGGTGTTTGGGCACCCAGGTCCCCAGGGAGTTGGCACTTATTATTAAGCCTCTTCTCTTTCTACCCACCACCCTTCCTTTTCCTGTCTTCTTCTGCCCCCCCCCCCCGGCCATCTCCATCATTAACTCAGCAGCTGTGGGATTCAGACTGTGAGTTTGCTGAGTTAACATGCAGCTTGTCCCTGGTGACAATCAGCAGATGTGCCACTAAACGGAACAGTCTGTTGTGAAAGGGGAAATTCCAACACGGGTGTTGGGATCTGTTCTCAGATAAACATTCTCCCGTCTCTGCTGAAGCCTCGTGATGAGACAGAACACACACACACACACACGCACGAAGAGCCATGACAGGTGAAACAAGGAAATGGAACTTTCTGCAAACATTACAGGGAGCAGATAATAATGTCATAGTATTTATAGCTGCAAATGGAAAGCATTCTGAGAGTTTATAGGGGTGAGAGGGCTCTTTGGTGCTGAAGGGAAGCTGAAATGTTCTTTTTCATTGGAACATCTTGCACAAACACCCACAGGTCTTTGCAAAGCATCATTTTTAGGGGGGGGGAATCCCAATTGTGTCCATCATATCAAAGTGTTTAGATACGTGCAGGATAGGACTGGCTGCAAGTTCATGGGGGTCCAGGAGTATCAAGCTGTAAAAAGTGCCCCCTGCCCCCAATGTAACCGATCAAAAAAGTGGCCATTTGTAACCCACTTTGACCTATTCTCTCCCTCCCTCTGTGCTACCAGCACAATTTTTATAGCATTCTCTTGCCTATGCAAACCTCCCCCCCCCCGTGCTAAAATACCAACAGCAGCTGCAATTGGAAATGCAGGAAAACATGAATTGAAAATTTTGCAAGGATATTGGCATTCAGAGAACTGAGAACCCCCTCCCTTTCCCCTCCAAAGAGATTACATGATTTAATTCCTCAGATCCTAGATTATGCATTTGTGGTAGTTATCTTAAAGCTGTATTTCAAGATTTTAAAACATAATCATACCCGGCGACTGGAAAGATAGGAGTTTATTGAATGTCTTGAGCAGAGAATACTTTGGGTAAATGTTCATTTCATCTCAAAGATGAATGGCAATGTTGATGGGTTTGCTCTTGTTGCAGAAATATAGCCCATTGCAAGAAAACAAGGACTTTGGAACCAGTCCTCTGTATTATTTCCCAAAAGAAAATGTAACACAATAAAATGCTAGGATGTGGGTGGGAGTGAGGGGAATAAGATTTCCTTTTTTAAAAAAACATCTCTTATTACATTGTGGATCTATCATCCAACAGTGTTTTGGAATGGCATTTCTTGATAAAAAAATAAAAAACCCCCACACAAGTTGAGATTTAGGAAGAAATGTACTGCAAATGGAAAAATGTCTTTGGTGCCAGAAAGCTTTCATTTCCCAATCCGTAGCTGAGCCTTATTGATGGCGTGTGTGTTGATGCACAGCAAAATCACATTTGTCAGAGACCGTTTGCGCTGAAGCACACAAGTGGAGGAGCTGGCAGCCAAAAAATGAGGATTCCTTACCCTGTTCCCCGCTCCCCTCCCTGTCTTACCAAAACATTTCAGGTGTGAGTTTTCCATTTTGGACTTAGGGCTCCAAATAGCTCTATAACTGCTGGTGTAAATGATAGAAGGCAAAATGTGGGTAGAAAAGCCGCAGTCCTAAGCGTGATGACTGGTGCTGGGAACTACTGAACTCAGCTCTGTCACTACATACGAAGCTGCCTTACTGAGTCAGTTCCATTAGTCCATATAGCTGAGTATTGTCTACACCAGGAGTCAGCAACGTGCGGCCCATGGACCGGATGCAGCCCACGAAGACACAGCGCTGCGCGGGGACTCACCAAGCGGTAATCGCATCTGCGCATGCACATATGCCGAAAATTACTTCTGCGCATGCCCAGATGCTGAAAATCACTTCTACGCAGGCACAATTTCTGGTGTCTGGGCATGTGCAGAAGTGATTTCTGGCACCGCAGACATGCAAGGTGCGATTTCTGGTGTCGTGCTGCACTGGTCCAGCCCACAGACAATCTCCGTGGGAGTCATTCGGCCCATAGCCGGTAAGCCTTGCCGACCCCTGGTCTACACTGACTGGCAATGGCTTTCCAGGGTTCCAGGCAAAAGGCATTCCCAGCCTTCCTGTAGATTCTGGGGATTGAGCCTATGACCATCTGCATGCAAGTCAGATGCTCTATCACTGAGCTATGGCCCTTCCCAGTCGTAATGTTGAGGTGTGCTGTAGTGCTTAGCTGACTGTATGCTTGAGAAACATGGACCACTTATAAACACCATCTCCATTCCCTCGAAAGATTCCATCAACGGTGTCTCCAAAAATGATTACACATCACTTGGGAAGACAGGCAAACTAATGGCAGTGTACTGGAAGAAGCAAAGATCACCAGTGTCAAAGCAATGATTCTTCAACATCAACTTTGTTGGACATGTTGTGCGGATGCCTGATTATCGTCTTCCAAAGCAACTACTCTATTCCCAACTTAAAAACAGAAAGCGTAATGCTGGTGGTCAACAAATGAGGTTTAAAGACTCTCTCAAGGCAAACCTAAAAAATTGAAGTATAAACACCGACAACTGGCCTGCAAGTGCTCCAATTGGAGAACAGCCTTAAAGTCCAAGTGTCATGAACTTTAAAGATGCTCAAACTCAAGACGAAAGGGAGAAACATGCTAAGAGGAAGGCATGTTTGGCAAACCCTCACCATGATCAACTCCCACCCAGAAACCTATGTCCCCACTGTGGAAGGACATGTGGATCCAGAATTGGCTTCCACAGTCACTTACGGACCGACTGTTAAAACCGAGTTTATGGAAGACAATCTTACTTGGCTACGAGTGATTGCCAAAGCGAAAGAAAGTGCTTCACATCATCTCTATCAGGCAAATTGTCGTACTAGCTTGCTTGGACTGGATGACACCAAGGTCCCTTCCCAAGGCTATGGTTCCATGGCTTACAGAAGCACACTCCTGCAGATTCTGTCTCTGTGCGTTTCACGCTTAACTCTGGCAGCATAAACAGAAGAATATGAAACCAGGTCAATATTTGTGAAATTAGAGCAGGCTTTTTGGGTTTGTGTGGCCTACACACAAGCCAATGGAGCCTTGATGTGCATCTGCCTTCCCAGAGTGCTCTTCTTCTCAACCTCTATTTATACCTTGTCCAATCCAGCAACTGATTTCTTATAATTAGTTTCTATGCCAGTCAACCATGCCTCTGGAAGTCTCTAGAGGGTCTTCAATGTGGCTCCAGGTACAATGAAAAGGCCCCAGTGACAGTTCTGGGGTAAACAGATGGTTGGAGCTTGCAAATAAAACCTCAAAGGGAGAGGGTATGAGAGAGAGACCAGCTTTGAGCTGTTAGTGTCATATATCAAGCATACCATGAACACGTCCAATAATTTCTTCTGGTTCCTGGAAACGAACTCTTCTCCCTACTTTTTGCTTCTGACTGAGAGCTTTGTTCACGGACGATCTTTTCCTCAATATGGAAGGAGGGCTTTTGGTGTAGTGAGTCTAAAAAGAAAAACAATATCTATATCTATCTATGCACACAGACGACGACCAGAGCTCAACATCTCAGGTGTTCTCTGAAAAATGTCTTCTGAGAGATTGCAGCTCAGCTCAAACACAAGAAGCTGCTTTATACAGCGTCAGAGCATCGGCCCACCCAGCTCACTATTGTTTACACTGACTGGCAGCAGCTGTCCATGGTCTTGGTTAGGGCACATTTCCAGCCCTACCTAGAGATGCCAGGGATTTAACCTGGGACCTTTTCATACCTGCTAACTGTCCCGTTTTAAGTGGGACATCCCGGAATCAGAGAAGTCAATCCCAGCTTCTGTTTGCATCCCGGAACATCCTGTTGTTTGGTGCAAAAGATGCTCATTCTGGTGTGAGTCAGCAGGGTCAGGCCAGACCACCAGACCAGAAGGCACTCTGGCACAATCCTGATGATGTGAGTCAGATCGCTTTCTAGACCCTTCTGACTCACGCCAGAGTGCCTAACCAGAAGGTGGTCTGGCACAACTTTGCTGATGTCCCAGTTTGGGGGACAAAAATGTTGGAGAGCATGCAAAACAAGTGCTCTCCCACCATGTGGGCCCTTACTTTGCTTTCAACAGTGCGTTCTCTCTCTCTCTCTCTCTCTCTCTCTCTCTTATAGAATGGTTGTCCTCATTCCTTTGTCCTCGTTTTTCTCTAGGAATTAAAATAGCCCAGGGCTGCCATACTTCTGGATTTCAAAGGCGGAATTGGCGTCCGGGGGAATTTCCGAAAGGTGGTGCCTTGTCCTGGAACAAGTCAAATCGTGGGCTGCTTTTTTTTTTCTTTCATTTTCATAAAAGCTCAACAACTTTCAGGGTGCCCTGATTTTTACTTTTTGGAAAAAAGCAACCCGAAAATAGCCAGAAAACAACCTAGCTGGGAAGGGATTGTATATCTCTCCCATGAAATTATCTTTAAGGCCACATTTTATCTGTTTTACAAATTAGGTCCATTATTACAGTAATAAAGCGGGATTTGAACATTAGGATTTCCTACAGATATTTCAGTAAAACCATTGATGGAATTTTAGTTGGGAAGAGACATGATTTACTGTTGCGGAGGATTTGCTTTAAAAGTCCTTGGTAAAACTCAGGGGATCTGCCATCATTAAACATACATCTTTCAGTCAAGATGGCTCGGCGATGATTGCTGAAATATGTTTTTTTTATTATTATTGTTCCTGCCACGTCAATAGCACATGCAAGCGCAGATTCTTTTGTTTTCCTAGGGCTATTTGTCGACCCCTTTGTGTTCTTCCTAAGACCAGGACGAAAGCCCTATAAAAGCCTTTCAGATATGAAGCCTCTTTATTGCTGGGTGAGATGGAGAAGTCTAATGCTGCTTTCGATTACCATAAAACTGCCAAGTTATGAATGCCTCAGGAACAGCTACCTACACGGACAAAGTTGTTACTGGATCACTATAAGCTGCACAACAATGGAAGCTTTGTCTGTAATTTTGGAAGTTCTGTAAGGATGTTTGTAGGCTGCAGCCCCTTTGCAACTATATATATATATATATATATAGGCCTAGGCCTAAGTGCCATTTGCTCAGTGTTTCTAGAATGCATACCCTGCAAGTGTCCCAGAAAAACTGTGACATCCCTTTTTTTATCGCGAGAGAACAGAGCCTATTTTGGTTGATGTGATCTCATGTGATGTCATAGCATGATTCCCCCCACAAAACATGTTTCTTTTTTTTGGGGGGGGGGCACAATGTGAAATCTCACGAAATTGCAACAACCAAAATGGCTGCTGTGCTCTTGCAATTAAAAAAAAAAGGGGGGGGAGAGACGGCATCTGGAAAGATGGCGTCTCAGATTTTGACTTCAAAGTGTTGGAGAGTATGAGAAGGTTACTGAAATTTCACATTTCTTCCCTGCACCATGAGTTCCCTACACAATGAGGTCCCAGGGCAAATTACAACAATTTAAAACTAAAAATTAAAAGCAATGCAAAACTAGTCCATGGTTTGTTACCATTACATACTAGCACTTTGGACTCAACTACATTAGTAAAAAAACAGTGTTTTGGATGAGTTATAAACATGCAACACCAGATGGCGGTGGAGAGTAAAAAAAAATTCTATGCGATTTTACATAGTGGTTTTGTTCTTTTGTTATAGCGATTTAATTTCTGACTCATTTATAGCGTGTGTTTTCTTCTGTGTGTGGATCCACCCCTGCATTTAAAAAACAGTTCATGTAACTTGGAAATTCAAATAAGAGGTTCTCCAAGTCCCTAACTCTAGAGCCCCACATCACTGCAACTGAGCCAATCTCAGCCAATTCCTGCCCACGGACGCAGTGATAGCAGCACAGGTCCATCTCTTGCCACCATAGAATGCTCAGTGCTTCTGTGGGCTGTGAACACACTGGCAGCAACAGCTTGGAGAGGTATTTCAAGAATCCACCTTACCTTTCCTTCACAGTGCATTGGAGAATCTGCAGGAACGCCTTCATGCTGCAAAAAATGGACATCTGCGGAACTTCTGAAAGTCTTGGGAACTTTGCTGGTTCATGGCTTCTGCAAGGATCGCATAACTCAGTTAGCATAGATTGGCCAAGTCACTAGCGGGAGGCTCTTCTGCATAAGACCCACCTAAATGATACGATACGATACAATAATCTTTATTATCCCCTACAGAACAACAAAATTGAAAAAATCTACATCAAACATTCACAGACCAACAAGCTTGCTATCCCAGCTATCCCAGCCGGGTTAACCCCCTAAAAACTCTGATACCCCATGATTAAATATAATATACTCCCACAGAGACTACCTTACACTGTGTTTAAAACCAAAATCACATTTGGATAAAAACTGTTTCTCAGGCAGCTAGTCCTAGTCTTTATAACCCTGTACCTTCTTCCAGAAGGCAGAAGCTGAAAGAGATCATTTCCGGGGTGCGCACTATCCTGCACTATCTCTGCAGTTTTCTTGTGACACCTGGAAGCATAGATTGGGAGCTGCCCAGTTGTTGAACATCTGCAGAATGAGATGCTTTGGGTAGGTTGTGCACACAAGGTGTTCAGGGGAAGCTCAGTGGCAGAGCACATGCACTGCATCTGAATGGTCCCAGGTTCAGTCTCCAGCATCTCAAGATATGACTGGGTAAGACTTCCATATAAAGTCCCAGGAACCCCCTGCCAATCAGTATAGACAATACTGAGTGAGATAGACCAAGATGGACTCTCTATAAGGCAGTTTCCTAGGTTCTTAGTCAGAACTGGCTTCATGTGGGATTTGGTATATGAATTTTCCCTTGGTTTTTTTGCTGGCCCGTGTAGGACCAGCATGGATAGCTGGCTCGGGTGAATATCTGATGTTTCCTCCCTTTATGATCTTGATTTATGGGCTACTACTAAAATGAGGCTGCATTTTAAGCCATATTTTAATTAACTGTTTTTTGATATTGTCCCGCCCCCCCATTACGTTTAATTGTAATTTATATTTGGTGTTAGCCGCCCTGAGCCCAGCCCTGGCTGGGGAGGGTGGGGTATAAATAAATCATTATTATTATCATTATCATTATATCCTTGGCAAGGTGGTCTCTGTTGGGCCCTCTCCTACATCAGCTTGGTGGCGGCGGCAGGACGATGCCACAGGACACCGCTCCATCAGGGGCATTCTGGGAAATTAAAAATGGTGGCTTGCAGAATTAGCCATTCAGCACCTTTGGTGTACGTGTCACAGGGCAGGCATTGGCATGGCCTGGTCCTGTTATTGTTATATCCCACCTTTCCTTCAAGGAGTTGAGGGTGGTGTTCATGGTTCTTCCCCTCCCCTTGTGATCCTCACCACAACCTTCTCAGGTAGGGTTCTTCTGCATATAGACTCTATATGCCAACAATACCAAACTAGATAGACCAATGATCCTATGCTCATAAATCCTAGTCCAGCCCTTTAACCACTGCAACCATGCACTATCTAAAACTCCTGGGTACCAGGCCTGTCCAAAGTGCGATTGCATGCAATTACAGAGTTTGCAGCTGTTACCTGGGCACTTATGTCCTTCCTGCTCCAGCAAAAACATGCAACTTCTTCACAGCCACTGCCCCATGGTCACGGAGATGCTCTCAAGCAAACCTGAAGGGGGAGTAAGCCATGACAATCAAAAACATTGATGATGGGTATGGAAACCATTAGAGCTCAGCTCCTGGCCCAAAACATTTTGCTGCCATTGGCCAAGACAATGATGGTTTCTCTACGACCACTGCATTCCATGTAGGAAAGTCGATCAGCCTGTCAGCTGAATCTTACTTTGATGTGGACAACAGAACAAAAGAAGACCAGCACAGTCTGCTGGACCAAAGGACCATCTAGTGCAAGAAAGTGCTGGGTGAGGCTTTCTTCATATTTCATGTTTAGAGAGGCACAGAAAAGACTATGAAGAGGGTACCAGTTTGATACATAACGTGGGGAAAATTTGTAGGGTAGGTGCCTGGTTTTGACATCATGTGGAATAGGGCTCCTGATCAGATGGTATCTGCATGTTGCTCTCTCCTGCAGAATGCACAGATCTGTTGGGTATATAAGGGCAAGAAGATATTTTCGATACAAGCTGTATATATGTATGTTGACTGTTTAACTGAATAGTACGTGAACAGGCACTTATAACGTTCTGCAAACCACTTTGCAGGTTGTTGAGTGAGCAAGAGGTCTTCTCAATCACTGCCAACTCTTCTAAAGAGGGATGTGATTCAACAGAAGCTCACAGTTCCTCTCTTGCCCTTTCCAAGGAAGGAAATGAGAAGTCTAACAGTAGAGGTTTTTTTTTTGTGTGTGTGTGTGTGTGTGTGTGTGTGTGTGTGTGTGGATAGATAGATAGATAGATAGACAGACAGATAGAGATAGATAGATGATAGGTAGGTAGGTAGATGATGATGATAGGTAGATGATAGATGATAGATAGATAGATGATAGATAGATGATAGATGATAGATGATAGATGATAGATAGATAGATAGATAGATAGATAGATCGATAGATAGATAGATGATAGGTAGATAGATATAGACAGAGTATGAACACAGGAAAACAGCATAAGCAATATGAACTCTTCTTCCCCCCATTTCCTTCTGCAGGAATAAATACTTGAGACAAGCAAAGTACTTTGTAAATGATGCCTTTGTACGGGTTCATGCAGCCTGGTTCAATTATTCCAAAACCCAGCAATTTTCTCATATCATTGAATCTGGTTTTATTGCAAATAGGGTCATAGAAATAGTCATTCCCAGTGATAATGGACTTAGTTTATCTTAACTATTAACACTTCCAGAGGCTGTGTGCTCCGGCACAGATACAACATTTATGTATATATATGCGTGCGGTTGTGCATATATTAATAATGAAGTAACCTTATCTCGTACAATCTGAAAACAAAATCGTGTAATGGCAGGCAGCAAAGTGTGCTGGTGTAACTGGAAGCGGGTGTATCAGGCTCCCCAAACGGGCTGATAATGAATTAATCAGGAGGGATGCTTCCACTGTTCCTCTGGCTTCCCACGCGTCAACCAATCCTCTGTTCAACGTTCCAGCTCTAATGTTCTGGACGCATTTGGTAAATAATAGGGTATAGCCTCCTTTCGCAGCAAGAGCGAAGGATGGGGTTCCCCTTTGTCAGCTGCAATTATCCAGAGCCGTGTAAAACAACCACAAACATCATGTCCCATTGCAACCCGATTAAGAACCTAAGAACATAAGAAGGGCTGGCTGGGTCAGGCCAATGGCCCATTTGGTGCAGCATCCTGTTCTCATAGTGGCTGAACAGTTGCCTGTGGGAAACCAGCAAGCAGGATTTGAGCGCAAGAGCACTCTCCCCTCCTGTGGTTTCCAGCAACTGGTATCAAGAAACATTTCTGCCTCCAACCATGGAAGCAGAGCACAGCCATCATGGCTAAAGGTAAAGGTAAAGGGACCCCTGACCATTAGGTCCAGTCGTGGCTGACTCTGGGGTTGCGGCGCTCATCATCTCGCTTTATTGGCCGAGAGAGCCGGCGTACAGCTTCCGGGTCATGTGGCCAGCATGACTAAGCCGCTTCTGGCGCACCAGAGCAGCGCACGGAAACGCCGTTTACCTTCCCGCTGGAGCGGTACCTATTTATCTACTTGCACTTTGACGTGCTTTCAAATTGCTAGGTTGGCAGGAGCAGGGACAGAGCAATGGGAGCTCACCCCGTCGTGGGGATTCGAACCGCCGACCTTCTGATCGGCAAGTCCTAGGCTCTGTGGTTTAATCCACAGTGCCACCTGCATTCCATCATGGCTAGGATCCATCAATAGCCCTCTCCTCCATGAATTTGCCATGTTGGTAGCCATTACTGTCTCCTGTGGCAGGGAGTTCCATAGTTTAACTCTGTATTGCGTGAAGAAGCACTGGCGGAGGAACTGGGATGTGGAGGGAGCGCACCGCCCCTGGTACCACTATTCCGGTAGGGTGCCATCGCGGTGGCCCCCCCGGAAATGTGCCACCCCCTGCGCACGCCAGGTGCCATGCCCCCCCCCAGGTGGCACGTCACGCCCCCAGAACGCACACAACACCCCCGAGGGTAGTGCGCCATGCCCCCAGATGCATGCCATGACCTGGGACGCCCGCCATGCCCCCACCTGCTCTCCGCCCCCGGTAGTGGAGCATGCAGCTTCACCACTGTGAAGAAGCACTTTGTTTTATCTGTCCACGAGTTCTAGTGTTGTGAGAGAGGGAGAAATAATAATAATAATAATAATAATAATAATAATAATAATAATAATAATAATATATTATTTGTACCCTGCCCATCTGGCTGGGTTTCCCCAGCCACTCTGGGCGGCTTCCACAGAGACCAAAAATACACTAAAATGTCACACATTAGAAACTTCCCTGAACAGGGCTGCCTTAAGATGTCTTGTGAATGTCAGGTAGTTGTTTATCGCTTTGACATCTGATGGGAGGGCGTTCCACAGGGCGGGCGCCACTACCGAGAAGGCCTTCTGCCTGGTTCCCTGTAGCTTTGTTTCCCGCAACGAGGGAACCGCCAGAAGGCCTCGGCGCTGGACCTCAGCGTCCGGGCAGAACGATGGGAGTGGAGACGCTCCTTCAGAAAGACTTTTCTCTGTCCACTTTTCCCATGCCACATATAATTTTATAGATTTCTACAATGTCACCTCTTCTATGCCTTTTCTCTGAACTAAAAAATCCCGAATGTTGCAACCTTCCTTCATAGGGGAGTTACTACATCCCCTTGATCATTTCGGTTGCCATAATAATAATAATAATAATAATAATAATAATAATAATAATAATAATAATGGTTTATCTATATGCTGCTGATCTGACTGGGTAGCCCCAGCCGCTCTGGATGACTTCCAGTAAATTATGAAACTACAGTTAAACATTAAACATTAAAAATGTTCCTATACAGCAGGGGTCAGCAAACTTTTTCAGCAGGGGGCTGGTCCACTGTCCCTCAGACCTTGTGGGGGGGGCGGACTATATTGGGGGGGGGTGAACGAATTTCTATGCCCCACAAACAACCCAGAGATGCATTTTAAATAAAGGGACACATTCTACTCATGTAAAAACACCAGGCAGGCCCCACAAATAACCCAGAGATGCATTTTAAATAAAGGGACACATTCTACTCATGTAAAAACACGCTGATTCCTGGACCACCCACAGGCCGGATTTAGAAGGCGATTGGGCCAGATCTGGCCCCCGGGGCCTTAGTTGGCCTACCCATGCTATACAGGGCTGCCTTCAGATGTCTTATCTACTTGACATCTGGTGGGAGGGCGTTCCACAGGGCGGGCGCCAATACCGAGAAGGCCCTCTGCCTTGGTTCCCTGCAACCTCACTTCTTGTAGTGAGGGAACCACCAGAAGGCCCTCAAAGCTGGACCTCAGTGTCTGTGCTGAACGATGGGGGTGGAGACGTTCCTTCAGGAATACTGGGCTGAAGCCATTTAAAGCTTTAAAGGTCAGCACCTACACTTTGAATTGTGCCCGGAAACATGCTGGCAGCCTATGTAGATATTTTCCAACTCATTGATATCCTATTTGAAGTGAGCTGGACAGAACTGTACACAATATTAGCGTCCGGCTACAAAGTTAGTGGTTTGGGCTGTGTGGGAACATCTCTCCAGAGGCAGATATGCAATCAGTTGAACACCCATGGAAGCTGATACACCACCACTGGAACCACCACTGCTGCTGCTTTTCATGCAAGGCAATATATTCTTAAGGCTATGTGAGTGATCTATTCAACTGCACCACATTTCCTTCACAATATGGGGTCCGTCTTAAAAAGCGGTGGAGGAAAATGGGGTTGCATCCAATGCTATGAATTTGCCGTGAATCGCCCTGATATCTGACAATGAAGGGTGGTATACAAATTTAATAAATAATAATAATAATTAATAATAGTGCTAAGTGAAAGTCACTAAGCAGGACACTTGTTGCACCGACAGGAAGTTGTTGCAGAAGGGAATTTACAAGTACAGTGGTACCTCGGGTTACATACGCTTCAGGTTACATACGCTTCAGGTTACAGACTCCGCTAACCCAGAAATAGTACCTCGGGTTAAGAACTTTGCTTCAGGATGAGAACAGAAATCGTGTCGTGGCGGCGCAGCGGCGGCAGCAGGAGGCCCCATTAGCTAAAGTGGTGCTTCAGGTTAAGAACAGTTTCAGGTTAAGAACGAACCTCCGGAACGAATTAAGTACTTAACCCAAGGTACCGCTGTACGGTACTGGCAGTTGTGTAACAGTTGCACAAGAAGAATGAGCTGTTGAGCAACCAGCATCCACTCAACAGCTGTTTGCTATTGGAGGGAGAGGTGTTTTTTTTTAAAAAAAGCACATTGCATTAAAAATAAACAGCAGGGTGGCTGGCTTTCAAAGCCCCCCCCCCCATATGTGTTTTGTATTTAAAAGTAAAATACAAAATGGACCTCCTCTGCTAAAGTATTCCGAGAGGCTTGAGACAACCAGCTTTTCTCTCCATTGCAAAACTTTGTTTCCAGGACAAAGCTGAAAGATTGTATGGCGAAGGGCTGTAGCTTAATGACAGAGCATCTGGTTTGCTTGCAGAAGGTCCCAAATTCAATTCTCAACATCTCCAGGTAGAACTGAGAGATCCTCCTTGTGAAGCCGTGGAGAGCTGCTGCCAGCCAGTGCAGCCAGTATTGAGATAGATGGACCAATGTTCAGCCTCAATATAAGGCAGTTTCTTATTTTACCGAAAGACAAAACGGCACACACACAGACACACACACACTAGCTGAGGTTTGTACCTGTTCCTTGCAGGGCAAGATGTATTCTCAAGTCTCCGGCAGGTGCATCAAACTTGGGAGTCCCGGCTCCCAAACCTTCACAGGAACCACCGCTGTTCTCCTTTCCCCTTGTGCAAATTCCTTTAAAGCTGTCAAAGATGTAATCAGACGAGGTGATCAAACCCAGTCCTCTAGAGACCTGGAAACAAGATCCAGAGAGGAGCCGTTCAGCTGCAGACTGGCCAGGGCTGAAAACACTAAAGTTTCCATTGGAATTAAATGAAGGGACTTGAATTGCTCAGAAAGGGAGAAGGCGAAGCTTCAGCAAAGACTGGCAGGCCAAAAGCACTGGGCCCCTTCTCGGACCAATGAGGGATCTATGCAGCTCATAACGGAATCCGAAAGCAGAACCAAACACTTTGCTGTTGAAGCGGACTTTGCCAACAGAGCGTTCAGCTGTGCGATTTTCCTAGATTTTTTTTTTTTACTCCAACGGCTGAGTAGTTTTATTGCTGGATCAAATTAAAAGAAGAGGAGGAGGAGGAGGAGGAAGGGCATAAAGTCACAGAGAAATTGATTCTTCTTTTGCTTCACGATGTCTGCAAACACGAAAGCCACAGAAAGCTGCAGTGTGGATTTTGCATGAAAAAATGTTGCATCCCTTTTACTTTCTGCAGCGAAAGGAGGGCTTAGGATATGAGATTTTAAGGACCAAGAAGAGACTGTACTTTCCTCAGCTGCATTGGTGTGAGCTAGATGGAGTCCTCTTTACTGGCTTGGGCACAAACAATAGATGTCATTTGGTATTGCAAGGGGTTGGACTAGATGACTCTCGCGGTCCCTTCCAACTCTATAATTCTATGGTGGGCAATAAAGAGTTCTGTTCAGGCATTCACAGGGCATGTGGAAGAATCAAGTGTGGAGCAGGCATGGCATGTACAGTAGGGTTACCAGACATTCCCAGTTCCTGGGGACAGTCCCCGGATTTGCAAATCTGTCCCCGGACAAAATCTGTCCACAGAATGTCCCCAGATTTGCAAATCTGTCCCCAGGAAACGTGGCAGTGGCAGCCTCAGCAGCCCAGAGCCAGCCTGGTAGCGCAGTTGGCTCTGGCTGGCTTCAGGAGCTGCTTGCTGCCATGGCGCCTGCCATTTTTCCTGTGCCATGGCAGCGAGCAGCTCCTGAAGCCAGCCAGAGCCAACTGCGCTACCAGGCTGGCCTCTCATGGGCAACGGCTGCCCACCAGTGACTCCCGAGCCTCCCCTGATCTGTCAAAACAAAGGGGGTAGGGGAAAGGAGATCGAGGATGGCTCGGGAGTCACGAACACGGGGGGCGCTGTTGCCCAGTCTCTGCGCATTTATGTTTCACAGGGTGCGAAAGAAGGGCTTTGCACCTTTGTACAATATGCATGTGTACTTGGGCCCAGGGTCTTTTGCCTCACCATCCCCACTACTGACTCCCTGTTGCTACTCAACTTCTAAAATAATAATAATCATAAGTGTCCCCAGATGCATTGGGGGGAAAATCTGGTAACCATAATGTACACCCCTGCCCCAACTCATAGCTGGCCCAAGACTTTTTGCTGCCTGAGGCAAAGGACAAGATGGCTCCCCTTCCCATGTTCAGAAAGTGAGTGGATTGAGATCTGACTCAAACACTGGCAATAAGCTAGCAGCATCTGCCTGCACACCCAAGGGCTGATGGCTAGCTTATGTCACTCTCCAACAGAGGGCAATTTCCAGGAGGTGCCGTGACCCCAGAGGTGGTTGTCTCCCTCTGCCCAATGGTTGTGCCGGACCTGCCCACCCCAATATCCCTGTTCCCACCACAGTGACCCCCCCCAACCGCTTGGATGGCTTGAAAAGAGGGTTAAACAAGTTCAGGGAGGTAAAGACTGTGTTCTGCCTCCACAGTCGGATGCAGCAATGCTTCTGAATACCAGTTGCTCCAGGGATATACTCTGAATACCAGAGACTCCAGGAGGGGAGAGGGCTGTTCTTTGACATGGCATTTGAAAGCTTCCTCCATTCCTAGGATGGAGGCTGAAATCAGCTTTCGGTCTGAGCGGATGTACACAGCAAAAGAGACTGTTTGCATTTGGCCAAGGGAAGAAATTTCAATTTGGCCAGGGAAATAAATTTCAGGTTCTGCATCTACTTTTCAAGAAACAGCTGTTTCTTTGAGAAGGGATGGGTGTTGTTTCAGGAACTGCAGGCCTCCTACTTCTCTGCTCGGCCTGTACATTTTGGTGATGGAGAAGGCAGTTGCTCTGATCTGGTGGCACCATCAAAGTACAGTCATACCTCGTGTTACAGCTGCTTCAGGTTGCGTTTTTTTGGGTTGTGGGCTGCTGAAACCTGGAAGTACAGTGGTGCCCCGCAAGACGAAAGCCTCGCAAGACGGAAAACCCGCTAGACGAAAGGGTTTTCCGTTTGCGATGCGCTTCGCAAGACGAATTTCCCTATGGGCTTGCTTCGCAAGACGAAAACGTCTTGCGAGTCTCGCCATTTCCCCCCCGCTTTCCCCCCCTTTTTCTAAGCCGCTAAGCCGCTAATAGCCTTTTAGCAGCTAAGCCGCTAAGCCTTTAATAGCCGCTAAGCCGCTAAACCGCTAATAGCGCTAATCCGCTTAGCCGCTAATGGGGTTGCTTCGCAAGACGAAAAAACCGCTAGACGAAGAGAATCGCGGAACGGATTCTTTTCGTCTTGCGAGGCACCACTGTACCAGAATGGGTTACTTCCGGGTTTTGGCAGTCGCGCATGCACAGAAACACTAAATCACACTTTGCGCATGTGCAGAAGCACCGAATCGCAACCTACATGTGCGCAGATGCACAAACGCGGGTTGCGAATGCTGTGGGTTGCGAACATGCATCCCGTACAGATCACGTTCGCAACCCAAGCGTCCATCTTTTTGGACAGAAGCCCAGGGCCCTGCTCAGCCACAGGAGCAGGAGAAGCCCAGATGCAGCAGCTCTGGCTTACCATGTTTTTAAGTATGTGAAGCAATATCATCTAAGAAAGGGACTCCACCATAAGACCATTAAGCCCAGAGTCTAAAATTACAACTGGATGTGCAGAATGTCTTTCCATCAGTAGGCTAGTTTCCACACACATTCACCTCTGCCCTCTAGCCTCCATCCTGGTGACAGCAGGCTGATTGGCGCTGTGGTCTAAACCACGGAGTCTCTTGGGTTTGCTGATTGGAAGGTCAGCGGTTTGAATCTCCACAACGGAGTTAGCTCCCGTTGCTCTGTCCTAGCTGCTGCCAACCTAGCAGTTCAAAAGCATGCCAGTGCAAGTAGATAAATAGGTACTGCTGTGGCAGGAAGGTAAATGGCATTTCCATGTGCTCTGGTTTGCGTCACGGTGTTCTGTTGTGCCAGAAGCAGTTTAGTCCTGCTGGCCACATGACCCGGAAAGCTGTCTGTGGACAAACACTGGCTCCCTCAGCCTGAAAGCGAGATGAGTGCCACAACCCCATAGTCACCTTTGACTGGACTTAACTGTCCAGAGGTCCTTTACCTTTTCTTTTTCTAACCTTGGCAGAAGTAGTTGGACCACAACTATCTTGCCCCTGGAGCATCTCCAGCTGGTCCAGTCATGGACTGCCCAGGTGTGTGCAGGGCTGCAAGGATGAACCTTGGAGGAGATTGTGACCTTGCAGAAAAATACTGCCCAAGGTTGCAACGCTGCAACCTTCTTGCACAAGACACTGCCTTGACTCCCGACTCCAACTCCCGCATCACTTGGTACTAGGCCAAGAACTCTAACCCCTCTCTCCTTAAGACCAGCATTCAACTTGGATTGAAAGAGGGTTTTTTTCTTTTTCTTTTGCCACCAACACACTCAATCAACATAATATTCTGTTTTCAACTCTGCTCAGCGAAGGGCTGCAGCCCAGCAGCAAAGGATCTGTGTTTCATACAGAAGGTGTCACTTTTAATCCCCAGCATCTCCAGGTAAGTCTGGGAGAGGCAACCTGCCTGAAACCCTGAAGAACCATTGCCAGTTAGCACACACGATATTAAGCTAGATGGACCAATGATCTGACCCAGGATAAGAAGAAGAGTTTGGATTTGATATCCCGCTTTATCACTACCCGAAGGAGTCTCAAAGCGGCTAACATTCTCCTTTCCCTTCCTCCCCCACAACAAACACTCTGTGAGGTGAGTGAGGCTGAGAGACTTCAGAGAAGTGTGACTAGCCCAAGGTCACCCACCAGCTGCATGTGGAGGAGCAGGGAATCAAACCCGGTTCCCCAGATTACAAGTCTACTGCTCTTAACCACTACACCATGCTGGGTCTAAGGATAAGGTTGCTTCCTATGTTCCTAGATCCTAATGACAAATTCAGAATCAATCTAATCGAAAGGAGAACCCCCTCGGTGCATATCTCTAGCATACTTTGTTTTGTTTTTTAAGGTTCAGCACAGCAGAAACATAAGGAGAGGAGTCAGATTATTGTAAGTTTCTAGAAAGTCACGTACTTTCCGGAGCTTCCATGGATGATGGTGCTGCTTGCCAGGAGCTCCATCTGCAAGTGAGTTTTTCCGCCTGTGTATATTGGAGCAGCATGTTTAACACTCCTGTCATTTGTCCAAAGATCAAGCGAGGGGAAACGTCAGTGCCAAGAAGCAGCAGCAGCAGAACAGCTACAGCCTGTGGAATAAATACAGGCTCCTCTTGGCCTATGAAAGCTTTCGTTTGTATCTCTTCGTTTGTATCTCTGTCTCCATTTCCTCCTGTTGCTCTTGAAAACTGAAATAGGCTCTTCCTTTTGAACCTGCAGCCCTCGCGCCTCAAAAGGTTTTCCTTGTATGTGTTTGCACAGTCAAAAAGTCAGCTCTCAGTCAGCTTTAAGGATGCTTTTTCTTCTGGGTCATAAACAAACTAAAAAGGCATCAAGCTTTGTGGTGGAGTCTCCTTCTTTGGAGGTCTTTAAACAGAGGCTTGACAACCATATGTCAGGAGTGCTCTGATGGTGTTTCCTGCTTGGCAGGGGGTTGGACTCGATGGCCCTTGTGGTCTATTCCAACTCTATGATTCTAAGCTGAAAGCAAGGGTTGGACTGATATTCAGAAAAATTGTGGTTTCCCCAAATTATTACAAAAACACATATAAATTGAGGAAACTTCCAGACTGGCTGTGTACACAGTACAAATTTAATGCATGCACACAAACATGAATTCTGGGAACTGTAGTTTGTTAAGGGTGGTTGGAATTTTAGCTCTGTGAGGGGTAAACTACATTTTCCAGGATTCTTTGGGGTGGGGTGGGGTGATCCTTTACATGTATGGCGTGTTTGCAACCTAAGTCATTGTTTTGCAGGTAGGAGTCAATCTCAAACTGATAAAGTCACATGGCGATATTAAAAGTTCTTTTTGGCACTATTGCAGCCCACATCAAGAAAGGAGAGAGAAAAAGAGTTCCTGCGGTAATGAAATGATGGGGAAACGCACTACAGAGCATGGGATAGTGGCTGAAACAACATTGTAGAAACCCCCACCCCCCAAACAAATCAGAATGGATACTTAATAAACAGCCAGTGTCATGTAAACTCGTTGCAAGCCAATCAGGATGAGTGCTTGATAAATAACCAGCCTGGAAGCGATTTTGTTTCCCAGCCCCCAAAAGCCAGGGGCGAACACTATGTACAGTCTCTGAAAGAACCAGAGCTATTGTCTCAGCTTCTGCAGTGATCTGGCATGTTTATGAACATTCCAGCTGCTCAGCTTTCTCGTTTAAAAAGTCTACAGACGAGGCTTAGGAATAAATGGCGATCAGGGCTAATTCCCTAAAAGGAAAACCACCGCTGGGCTCCTGGGCAAAACATCACCATGATTTATCTAAAGTTAAGCACTTCTTTCTAAGCTGCAGTGAACTAGGCTAGAACGACAGAAGGATGAATGCTGCAACTAGAATGGCCCCACAGAATGGTATATAATACAGTACTATTTCTTAAAATAAATTAGAAACACCTCATCGTTGTTTTTTTCAGGTTAGACATATATTACAGCAGGGTGGGAAACTGCACGTTTGTTACATCTTTGTAACAAAGAGTTGATCTGCCAATGGTCTTGGTGCCTGAATCAAGCTTCCCGTAGAACAGACGACTGAGGTGGGTAGATTTTGTCTACCTGTGGTCCACCAAAACCAGCAAACTATCCGTTGGTGCTGAACTGGACAAGCAAATTGGCAAGGCAGCTACAGCAAGGGCTCCCTTCTCCAAAAGGGTGTGGGAGAATGTGATGCTCACATCTAATACCAAGATGAAGATCCACCAGGCTTGCGTGTTGATCACGCTGCTGAGTCATGGGCAACTTGCCATCAGGAGCAATGCCTTAACACCTTCCACATGCACTGCACCAGGAAGATTTTGGGCATCACATGGCAAGACAGAGTTTCAAGCAAAGATGTGCTCTCCCAAGCCGACATTCCCAGCATGTTCGCAGTCCTGTCTCAGCGACATCTACACTAGGTTGGTCATGTCCACAGAATGGAAGATGACAGGATCCCCAAAGGATGTGCTCAATGGCTAGGTAAAGGTAAAGGGACCCCTGACCATTAGGTCCAGTCGTGACCGACTCTGGGGTTGCGGCGCTCATCTCGCTTTACTGGCCGAGGGAGCCGGCATACAGCTTCCGGGTCATGTGGCCAGCATGACTAAGCCGCTTCTGGTGAACCAGAGCAGCGTGTGGAAAGGTCGTTTACCTTCCTGCCTGAGTGGTACCTATTTATCTACTTGCTCTTTGACGTGCTTTTGAACTGCTAGGTTGGCAGGAGCAGGGACCGAGCAACGGGAGCTCACTCCGTTGCGGGGATTCGAACTGCCGACCTTCTGATCAGCAACTCCTAGGCTCAGTGGTTTAACCCACAGCGCCACCCACGTCCCCTGCTCAATGGCTACCACTCTCAAATTTCCCGGTTCCAGCCTATTTTTTGTTGGTGGGCAAGTGAGATGGCAACACTGGTCCTGAACATAACAAGAGTCCACTGGATCAGGCCAATGGTCCACCTGGTCCACCATTCTCTTCTCGCAGTGGCCAACCAGATCATGCATATGGGAAACCCACAAGCACGTTTAGGAAGCCTCCCATCTACTCTTGAACTTCCGGTCAGGCGTCTCTGCACATCACAGCTCCTCCATCTCGTGCGCAAGTTTTGCAAATTGATGTTCCGTTGCTTATTTGGAAGACATTCCCATCCAATCAACCTTTTGACAGCTGAAGCAGGTGCTGATGGGTAATCAGCAGTCTTCAGCTCGCTTGGCATGTTCCCAGGGCAGTGGGCACCTGCTGATCTCTTCAGAAGTACACCAGTCCTGGTGGCAATTTGCCCACGCTTTTTCTCAGTTAATAAACACGAAACAGCAGGGGGCCAGGGGGCTGCGAGCAGAGATAGTGGCGTGCTTCACAGAGGGGGTCCATTCCTATTGTTCATTGGGCGAAATGGAAGCTCAAATTCTATCAGACCCAGGCAGAAATGGCTACATTGCAAACTTTATTTTTTTAAAAAGTAACCAGATTCCATGCAGGTCTTCTCTGTGTAGTGTAAATTGTACTGTGCTGCTGTTTGTTGATATGGAGCATATGACGAGTAATGTGGGAATCTGCCTGGTAGAGAGTAGCTATTTATGTGAACAGCAGGACAGGAAATTAGAAGGGCATATCTGAACCTCAAAAACAGGATGTGTCCATTAGGAGGAGCATTCAGCTTTTTCTCTTTCCTCGGACATATCTCCACTCCCTCACCTTATGCACGGAAAACAGTAAAAGTGTCTAAGAGTCCACACCAGCACTGGACTGGTCCAGTTCAGTTCTCTCCAGTTCTCTTTTTCCCCAAGCTCAAATTTAGTTTTCAACATTTGCACAGCGAAATCTTCATGAAAATGCATTAGCATTTTAGTGTGAATTTCTCCTGCTAAACACACCTTTGCATGCAGTTTCGAATAATGAACACATATTTTTTGCATGTAATGCATTTTGCATGTTATTTTCACTAACATATTCATTTCTAGGCACACTTTCTCTTGTGCATTTTTGTAAACATTGCTTGGCTGGAGAACTGCCTCACAAAATTTGGGTAGGTGTAAACTTTGACAGACAGCAGTGTTTCGTTTAGCCGGTTGTGGAAAGTGTGAATTTAATGGATTTGTCTTTTAAATGCAAACTGAATCCGACTTATCATTTATCTCTACTAGTAGCTAAACAGCATGCAGATGTGCTAACATTATGAACTGTAGAAGAACTTGGGAAGTGGGGAGACACAAATCTGAGCGTTCCTTAAGTTGCGGGCAGATATTCTTCCTCTCTCATAAAATGAGAACTTGATGACACCCAACAAAGCTGAACATTGGAAGATTCGGGATTGACAAAATGAAGCTAATCTTCATGTAACAAATTCATGATTGAGGCTGTTTGGTTATGTGGCGGCACTCACTTCTGAACCTCGGAAATAGAGGAAGTTATTATTCCATTGCAGATTGTTGAACTGCAAATCATGTCCAGGCACTTGTAGAAACACAACAACGATGTCTTGGCCTCTGTATTCCCTGGTCTGGGCACCAGGGAGAACATTTGTTATTCCCCCTCCCTGGGTGGACATCTCTTCCCCCCCTTCCTTGCCACAGAGATTCAGGGCTCTCATAAACCTATGAGCTCTGTGGCATTTACTGGAAAATAAAAACCACTGGAAGATGGTTAATTTTTTTACGGCAATTGCTCGGGCCTCTAAGGCTTCCACCGTATATATTTCCCTGTCAGGGTTTAGGAGTTTAATGACCATCTTTGCTGGGGTGTTTGAGCCATGAGCGGTCCCCGGGGTCACTGCGCCTTGCTGGCTGTGACCATAACACATTGCAATGACTTATAAAAGTCCCTTTCCACCCAGCCTGTCCCTTTGATTGCTTTCCCTATCTAAGTAATTTCTGCGCCTGCCATGCACTACTAATGGGGAGGGAGGAGGTCTGTGACTGCGATGGGAGGCAGAGTTGTCCATTAGAGGCAACTTGTCTGTTAAGATCTGTCACTCAGGTGGAAAGGGGCAGGAGACCCCTGACTTCCAAAACACGCCTCATTTGCTCGGCTTCAAAACAGAGAAAGGAGGACCTAATGATCACAGTGGCAGAAATCCGCCCTCTCTCTCACTCTCTACGCTTCACCTCTCGGACAGAGAGATGCTGCTTGATTGACCGTGCAGAGAAGATGTCTTTGTGTATCCAACAGTGTTTAATTTCTGACTTTTGTTTTCAAAAGGATGGCTGTTGATGTGACCTTGTCAAAAACGGTTTGCGAAGCCAAGGAAGACGCGAAGCCTCAACTCCCCTTACTGGGGGCTGATTGTAACTGCAACGATGTGACTTACCTGTTTTGGATGGCTATGATTTTGAAACCCTACGAGTCTAAATTTGGAAATGTGAGCAGCGTGGCTAGGGATGGGGGAGGGGGGAGGAATTTGATTCGGTTTACGTTTAAAGGCACATCTGCATAATTTGCACTTTCCAACACTGTGCACAAACTGAAACACAGCCATCCTTCAAAATGTGAATCTTGCAATGCTGTTCGTCAACAAACTAATGTGTACAAAAAT